TAAAAAAGGAGTGATCTCAGGAGTAGCTTGAAGATAAGAACTGTTGGAAGGAGGATGTTGCTTGTGCCAGGTGGTGGTGGTGGTGATTATGTGCTGTGGAGTGGGTTCCGACTCATAGCGACCCTGTATAGGGTTTCTGAGGCTGTAAATCTTTACAGGAACAGAAAGCCTCATCTTTCTCCCGCGGAACAGCTGGGAGTTTTGAACTGCTGAGCCAGGAGAACTGGCTAACCAGGGCTGTAGGGAGGAGTTACCAGCCCAGTGGGCCTGGAAGGTGAAGTTGATTCCCAGGACCAAAGGGTCTCAACCTAGGCTGGAGAACATGACCAATACACAGAGATTGCCGGGTGGTATTATTGCCCAAAGGAGCTCTGGTAGCATAGTGGTTACGAATCGGGCTGCAAACCGCAAGGTCAGCAGTTCGAAACTATCAGCTGCTCTGCAGGAGAAAGATGAGGCTTTCTGCTCCTGTAAAGATTTCCGGCCTCAGAAACCCTGTTCAGGGTTGCTATGGGTCAGAACCGACTTGACGGCACTTAACAACATTATTCCCCAGATATGCTTAAAGAACAGATTACTTACAAGACTGATATGAGAGAATGAGATTTGCCCTGCTCGGTGGTTGGAGACTTCCTTGGTACCTCTGACACCTTCTTTTCCTATAATTTCTCCCTTTTGGAATGGAACTGTCTACTCTATTGCTGTTCCACCATTGTACTTTTGTTGTTGTTGATAAGTGCGTCGAGTCAGTTCTGACTCATAGCGACTCTATATAGGATTTCTGAGGAGCAGCTGGTGAGCTTGAACCACCGACATTATGGTTCAAACTGACTTTGTAGTCAAGCGCATTATCCCACAACGTCATACCAGGACTCCCCATTGTACATTAGAAGTAGATAATTTGTATTCTAGGATTCACAGGTCCAGAGATGGAGAAGAATTTTGCCTCAGGATGGAACACACCCTGTTCAGGTAACTTTAAATTACAACTTTAAGTTAATTACATTCTGAGCTCATTGAGATGGCTCAGAATGTAATTAACTTATAGTTGTAGCTGGACTGGGTTAGGAGACAGCCTAAATGCCCATCAACGGAAGAATGGATAAACAAACTTTGGTATATACCCAAAATGGAATACTATGCAACATTAAAGAATAGCAGTGAATCTGGAAAACACCTTCTAACGTGAATGACCTGGAGAACATTATGCTGAGTAAAATTATTGTTGTTGTCAAGTACTATCGGGTTGGTTCTGACCCATAGCAACCCTGTATGGTATTTCCGAGGAGTGGCTGGTGGGTTTGAACTGCCGGCCTTGCTGCTCAAACTGACCCTGTGGTCCAGTGCCGATCCTACAGTGAGTGCCACACCAGGAGGACAAATAGTGTATGAGATCACCATTGGAAAAAGTTAAAAAAAAAAAAAAAAAAAGGTTTTCTCGATAAAATAAATATTCTCTAATGGTTACCAGAGGTGGGAGGGAAAGGGAAAGAGTCTGTGACGAGGACATGAATTTTTGGAAAGGCCAACGACTGAAATGGTACAAATTGAATGCCTGTAAATGGAGCCCTGGTATGGTGCTATAGGATAAGCACTGAACTGCTAACTGCAAAGTTAACAGCTCAAACCCAGCAGCTGCTCCTTGGAAATCCTATATGGAGTTATGAGTAGACTTAATGGCACGTACCAACAAAATACCTGTAAATATAATCCTATTTGAAAATAGAGCTCTTTGCGATGTTAATTAGGTCCTATCTAAGTACTGCTGCTGCTGTTAAGTTGGTTCCGACTCATAGAGACCCAGTATAGGATTTCTGAGGCTGTGAATCTTTACAGGAGCTTTGGAACGCCTCATCTTTCTATTTCTCATGGAGAGGGTGGTGGATTCAAACTACTGATCTTGAGGTCAGCAGCCCAATGCATAACCCACTACACTAAAGGGGCTCATTTATATGTGTACAGTGAATTCTAAATCGAATCATTTATGTTATAAAAAGAGCCCATTAGACACAGGTATGTCCCAGGGAGAAGAGGAAACCAGAAAATGGATACATCCACAAGAATTGCCAGCTACTAAAAGCAAGGGTGGGGAACATCCGACCCCTATAAGGTTGCGTTTGGTCAGGTCCTGCCAAGGCAACCGCAGATGCAACTCAAAATTCAATAAATCAGGAGCTTTTTTCATAGCAACATACATTTATACAATCGATGTAATAAATATCCAAATGGCCCTTTCCCACCTCTGCTGTAGAGCTACACTCTGCATTTGAATGTGTAGCTGCCTAAACAGAGAAAACTGCTTTTTAATGAAAGCTATCCACTTGGGATATTTGTTATTACAGAAGTTAGACAGTTTTGATTCTCAAAGTGTGATCCATGTACCTAAAGCATTAAGATCACCTGGGAGCTTGTTAGAAATGTAGAAACTCAGGCCTCACCCCCGACACTGTTCTCCTTTCTAGTTTAACAAGACCCACAGGTGGTCTGCACATACATTAGTTTGAGAAACACTATTTTGCAGTATTTACCATCCCTTCAATGACTGGTAGCGTAGTGGATACGAGTGGGACTGCTAACCTCAAGTTCAGCAGTTCAAAACTACCAGCCGTTACACAGGAGAAAGATGAGGCTTTCTGCTCCCGTAGAGATTTACAACCTTGCAAACCCTATGCAGGATCACTGAGTTGGAACCAGCTCCATGGCACATAACCACCACCACCAATGACTTATCATAATAAATAGTCTTGAATGGTAGGCTTATATTATGATAGAGAGAGCTGAGGGTCACAGATTTACTAAAGGCCAGACACAAACTAGAACTTGAACCCTCCTGACTCAATCTAGTGTTTTTCATAATGTCATGTTAATTCAAGATGAGGGCTCTGACAAAGTTGATGAAAGAAATTCCTGTAAGGTTTCTCTTTATGCATTCTCCTTCTACTTCTTCATACAAAGGCAAGTCAAGAAGCATTGCTTCCAGTTCATATATGCATGGGTTTATTCCAAACAAACATGTATACACATATCTGGAATCAGTGGATGGTTGTAGATGAGTTCTCTCAGTAAAACACTTGTCTTATTCTTATTACAGTGCCTTCAAATAACGGATAAAACAGTGGCTTCTGAGAGGATTACTGGGCAAGTTAAAGCCAAGGCTGAGAAATATGCTCAGAAGATTAAGACAACTGTTTTTGGGATTCTAAGGAGTAATCTTGATAGATCTTATCGAAGGACATAGAATTACAAAGAAGTTTTTTTTTTTTTTTTTTAAGAAAACAGAAAACTGTATTCTTGTGAAAAAGGGCAGGAAAGTTGTGCAGAGGAATTTTTCCAACACAGCAACGCACCTGCTCAGGCTCACCAGGGCTGTCTTAAGAGATTTCATCTCACCCATTCACCATACAGTCCTGGCCTTGCTCCTTCACACTTACTTCCCAAACTCAGAGAACATTGAAAAAGAACATGATTTGGGTCGCTCAAGGATGCCCAAGCTGCCATGTTGATGTGCTGTGAATTGAAGAGCACAGAATTCTTTGGGGAAGGGTTAGAGAGATGGAAACACCATCTTCAGAAAGGCATAGACCTAGATGGAGGACGTGGGGAAACAAAAGCTTCACATTTTGCAATTTTTGGTTGATAAGAGGTTTCCATGATTTTGTAGTGATACTTTTTAACCAACCCTCATATGCTGCAAGGGAATGGTTTTAGAGTTATCAAGTATCTTCTAGGTATCCAGGAAATTTAATCTGAGGTATCCTGTCAACTTCTTAGCTTACATGTCAGGAATAATGGCATTGTACTGACCCCCTTCAAATGTTGAAGAGTGTCCTCTCAGTGACCACAGAAGCCCAGCAGTTGCAAGGACAGGCCCTACACATTCAGCTGCAGCACACAGTCAGACTAACGCACGGGCTAGGTTCTGAATCCTTCACCCCTGTGCTCAGCTTTAATTTCACTTCTTTCTCCACTCTTACTTTCCTAGGAGGCAAATTTGGTGCCTTGAACAGACTCCTTATGGCAAAGCTCCTCTTAAGCTGTTGCTCACCTCAAAATCACATGACAAGATTTCAAACATTACAAAGTGATGAATTAATTTACGATTTGTCTTCAAACTAACTCTACCCCTTCTTCTCCGAATTTGCCAAATTTAGGCTAAACCACCACCACAGGAAAACAGCCACTATATAGAGACAGTGACATTAGTAGACTGAATGACAGGATGAGTTTTTCTGGTCATTTTTAAGCCTATTAGATGGTAAACACTGGAGGCACCCAAACGCTAGCCCTTGCATTCATCCCTAGCATCACCTCATATGTGGAGAAAAACGACTTTTCACTTTCAATGCCTCTGCCACCAAGGTTTATATTCAGCCAGCATAATGGTATTTTATTAGTAGTCATATTAGAAAAACCTTTGTATATAGGCAATTTTAAACGGCATGATTCTTTCATACGTAATTTTATTAGAGCCAGAGATGATCATTTATTCTAGAAAGACAACCTCTGAGGTTACAATGGAGACAATGAAAAAATAGATTTCAGTTTATAATTTACCTTTATCAAATCACCTTGGATCACACTAATTCTATCATATGAGTATGATTTATATTATATAAGTCAGTAATATAAAACACAAACTGCAAACCTTTATTCTCTAATCTTCAAGTCAAATATTAATTTTCTTAAAATCTGAAGACAAAAAAGGAGGTTTCAAATAATAGCACTTAAACACTATACATTTTTAATGATGTACAGTAGTAGTAAACTTTCAGCCTCATATTTTTAAGGTTTTAGCAGAAGTAACCCTCACTGGTATCTTAAATTTTTGTCAGCTTGTTTAGCGGCTATTTTGCCTTATTGTGCCTAACAGAGGACACTTCTAAATACATGAATAATCCATATTGAGAATAAGGTACAGAAGGGTTCTATCTCCTGAGGGGCAAGAATTCCCATGAACACATGTGCCCCCGTTATCAGTGAGCTGGGTAGTTTCAACAAGATCATTTGTCTTGTGGGGCCAAGGCCTGTGGTTTGATCTTCCTAGCAGCTTCCAGAACAGACGCTGGGTTTACTTTGTCTCCAAATTCTTTCTCTCGGTGCTCAAGAAGAATACCCTGAAAGGAAACAAGAGGGGTATCAGTCCTCATTCCGGATCATTCATTCCTAAAGATGGAGGTGGAGCACTGGCTGTCTATCAAGCTCTGTGCCGGGCAGCAGGATACCGATCCACATCAGGCCTGGACCCTCCCCAGAGAAATCCATCCTAAAAGGGAAGGCTGACATGGACAACGGAACACACCACGATACTTGGGCTTTGCAGGGAGCGCCTGGGAAACAGGAAGTCAGGCAGAATCAGGGGGTGCTGCATTTCGCCTGGTTGGTCCATGGAGAAGGGAAGGGAACAAGTTAATACAGAAGAGCCGAAAGGTGTGGAAGTAACAGCATTCATGCTTTGGCAGACTTTGAAAGACATCTGGAAAGTGAGGGCCGTGTCTTCCTTTAGTCTTCTTAAGAAAGTAGAACCTACTCATTTCTGATGAAGATAAACACATTAAAGTCACAGAATACCTTACCCTAAAGTTAGCTGAAAGTGGGGGGAAAAAACATGATGTGTTTAAGATCAATATCAAGGAATCCTTGTTAAAGAGTTCTCTGAACCATTACATATACCTGGGCACTCATTTGAAATAAAAATAGGTATAAAACAGTAAATGTGTTCACTATGAAAGTTGAAACCACACTGTGGTAACAAAAGGGAGGTAAACCAAAAACGTTTACATACTTGCTCAATCAAGCAATAGGTTGAATAAGCATAATGACATGGGGAATTATATCTGATACACTGTCTAAATTAAAATAGAACATTTAGTCTAGTAAGGGACCACTTGGTAAAATAACCAAACAAAAAGCCACTCAGCTCTGTTCATGGGCAGTTGGGTTTACATAATAGGTACATACACTCCTACCAGTTTCTGTTGTTTTAAAAATTCCTATAGTGCCCATATATCACTTCTTTAAAGACGATAAACACAAGGAAAATCTCTACTGAGTGGCATCTGGCACAATGGCACTACACAAAATGGTCTCAAGAAAACCTGATCAATCCTGACAGCCCGCCAGCCTAGTCAAACTTCCACCAGAAGGGAAGCATCAACAGAGTCCAAATAACACACCTAGCAACGTCAGGTGCACGCCAGCCCCTCAGGGAGCCCATGAATACCAGCTGAGTCATCATTAGGCAAGAATGAGCTGGCCACTGGGCCAAGCCCTGTCCTGCCCCGGGGACTGTGGAGGGGGGAGGGGCAGGGGTCTAAATGCTCCAGCACTCAGGGTGTTAAAGCAGGAAGAAGCTTCCAGAGCCTTAAGGAATTGACCTGCTCAAGTGTACGCGCATCAGCAAGGGCTCTTGGGAACCACCTCCAGAGAGAGGTTCTGGACAAGTAAAGACAGGGTCTCTGGAGCTGGACATAGCTGAGTTCCTGCATCTTGCTTCCACTAGACCACTGACTAGTTATGGGTTGCTAGAAGAACGAAGATTATATGTATAAGTGCCTGGAATTAGGCAGACACTTATTTAACAATCAGCCATTGTTACGGAGACATTTTGATACATTTATGAACTATATCCAGACAGGCCATCAAGGAGAGACAGAAGAGAAAATCAGAAAATTAGCACATCTGTTTATGCTCAATCAGATACCATATCCTGATAGATTTTGATAAAGACAAGCAGTAGAGTTGCTAAAGTTTGAAGAGAAGATACAAAATACAGCCTAAAATGGGGGAATTTCTATTCCTACTAACTACATTGTGAAAAGACTATGATTTTCAATATCAGCAGTGAGAGCCACCAAGGCAAACTAACCCTGTCTCGTCAGAGATGAGGCCAAATGTTAATGCCAAGGCCAAAGTCGGCAGAGACAGGCTGTGAGGTCAGGCCATCGTTCCCCTCTCTCTTTGCTCTTGAGCCTGCATCCACTTTACCTTGTTCCTAAACCCAAGCCCACCCAGCCTCTGCCTGCTCACTCCTCCCCAGCCTCCAGACTGTCCACAATTTGGCATGCAGCACCTGCCTCTAGGTCACCTCTCCTTTCCATAACATCCCTCACTGGCTCTCCACTGGGCAACGAGAAGTCGGTTCCATGCCAGGCCAACCCTGATTCTAAGGTCGCCCCCACCACCACAGGGGAAAGCATAGGTCTTTCTTTGCCATTTCCCTGGTCAAGTCTGTTTTCATTCCTTCTTTCCTCTTCACCTTTTTCCCAGTGTCTATCTTTGATGGCATGGGAACACTGCTAAGGACTGACTCCATGAGACAGAAACTCAAGCGAAACTGTCAATACCAATGATGCTTTGGTTTGAGCAGAGGTAACAGAACACTTGACGTTTGCACCCAGCAGTGCCAGGGATTAGCTGCATTCCTTGTCTGAGAAATGGTAAAAGCCAACAACACTTCTCTGTGCTGAGAGATTGTGTATGTGAGATTGGATGGTGGAAAGGTAACAATTCCCCTTCCTTCATCGTATACCTTGGCTTTCTGGAAGGAAGGCTGGAAGACCTGAAGCAGAGAAAGTCATCCCTGTTTGGGTATCCTACTCATGTAAGTAAACACCTAGCCATTTACCTGCTTTCCTGATCCCACCACAAAAACGCCTCCAAGGATAAAGCCTTCGCCTTCCAGGTTTCCAGAGAAGCCTCCATTCCGGGCCCGGAAGAAGTTGGACCAGACACCCAGACGGATAAATCCCATAAACATCATCTTCCGCCTCTGGGGACCGTAGAACTTTTTCTGCAAGAACAAGATAGACCACATTAGGAGTTGTCTGATTGCTTTAATCAGGAAGGAAGGTTCTCAATAGGGCATTTCTCCTCAAACCAGGCTGCTGGCTCACCATCCACCACACACAGCTCCCACTCAGGACCACCTTCAACCTGCCCAAGGAAACATTAAACGCTGCTGCTGGGTGCAACTACCAACCACAGGACAGGTCCGATCTAGAAGACAGACCTGCAGCTTTCAACCCTGACGCTAATCTCTCACTAGTGTTCAGGGTTGTAACAGACCTACATTCTGGAGAAGTAGCGGGGAAAGGGAAAAGAAACATGCTATAATGAGTTAGAGTCTGGATTTGTGCTAGATCCCCCCAAAACACATTGCAGAACCCAGAGAAGTTTCAGCTACTGTCTAGCTACAGGGGTCAAACCTCAGAGCAACTTTAGTGACCACTGTGAGGAGAGCGCTTAAGTTCCCATTCATGCTGTCTGTGCGGAAGGTTAGCCACCAAATTCAGAGCAGCTGGAAGGGAGGCAGTCGCTAGCTCCAGGCCAGATACAGCCTGGGCACAAAGATCTCACAGCTAAGCCCAGTTCCTTCCAATCTGTCCAAGCAAGTCTGATGGGCTCAGCACACACACCTTTTCATCCAGAAAGATGGCTCCTTTGAAATACGGCTGGAAGTCCTCCACTTCATTGCTGACCTGCTCCTTCACAACTGCGTACAGGGGGACACCCAGTTCGTCCAATTTGGGCTTCAGAAAGGACAGGTCTGCAGCCTCCTGCAGGAGACAGGAGTTCAGGAATATGTACGCGCATGGCTCGGCAGCCGACAGACACTCGCTTCCCCACAGGTCCCAAGCACATCTGGGCACTGAACTCAGAGGAACACAGGCAGAAAAACCATCAGAATAATGAAGGCCTGTGTAACCCAGTCTAAGCCTGTACCGTCTAAGAGCTTGGCCTCAGTGCAGGTCTCAGGCCCTTTCCCCAGCCCACGTTTCTTATCTTTCCATGTGGTCAGAGAGTTGCCAGAGTCCAGTTATGAGTGTCCTAATGGTAAGAGAGCATCCTAACATGGTCCTCCATCCATCATCTCAATGCATCTCCTCTGTTCTCGTCCCCAGCCCCTCCCTGGCACTAGAACAAACTAGCATAGTGGTCGATCAGACAGACTCACTCATGCTATGCCTTTGCTCAGTCAGTCCCTCCCCCTGCAATAACGCTCATCCCCTCTCTAGTGCAAGTCCTCCTCTTAGGAAAGTATTGCTGTTAAGTGCCATCAAGTCGGTTCCAATGCATAGCGACCCTGTATAGGGCTTCCGAGGAACGGCTGATGAGCCTGAATCAGTGAATGTGCAGTTCAAACCAACCTTGCCGTCCAGCACATTAGTGCTACCCCAGGACTCCTTAGAAAGGTATTTGTTGTTGTTGTTGTTAAGTGCCATCGAGTCGGGTCCGACCCATAGCGACCCTGTACAGGGTTTCCGAGGAAAGGTATACTTGTGCTAAAAGAGCTCCCTGAGCAGCCCTGAGGAAGCTCTCGTTCTCCTTGCACACCTCATCTTACCTGCCTGGTGACTACTGCTGTCCTAAGTCTCCATGTTACCACTCATTCAATCACTATCACTTAGGTTCCTAAAGATGTCTCACAGTGAGAAGCTCTATCTTGCATTTCTTGGTATCCTTTGGTGGGCATACAGAAAGCACTAGATGCCACATGGAAAAGTCTGAAGGTGACCAGTGGGGAGAAGCTGGCTGAGCTGAACGGGACAGACAGCCCGGGCTCTTGAAATGTGGGCCAGATTAAGAACTGGAACTGTATATGCAATGGTGAAGCTTCAATCTTAAGGACACATTACTTTTCATACTTGGTGCTAGAACTACTGCTTGGCTCCAATGGTGTGAACTGCATTCAAGTTGCCATCTATGTTTTCGAGCAAGAAAACAGCACAGTAAATGAAGTAGAGTTGATTACAATGCACATCTCAAACTTGAGTGCTTGGCAATCTTTGCGCGCTGGAACAGAAAAAGATACTGTGGAGTCATACCTGGTCTATTTTTGAGCCGAGAGTTTTTAGTCACTTTCCTGGTCTCTTTCCACTGGGTGTGTCAATTTGCAAAGTCATGAAGTGGAAACTGAGTCACATACCTCCTCCCTAGGCTACTCAAAATGACTCATACCACCATCCCACATACCTTTTGGAAACTCAAGTCCCCACAAAATGCTCTGCCAAGGCACAACACAGAAGAGAAAACAAAGTTACACTGAGAGACAGCAGCTGTTCACTGAGCTGTTTGTGTTTAGCTGACATGGAGAACACAAGTCATAACAGGCTTCCATGTTGGTTTATTTGAAGCCAGGATCTTGTGACTAGTTACACTACACAGAGAGGGAGAATTAGGTGGCAGCTGGAATTAAGGTTGCTATCCACTAAGTCATTCAACTATATGGGTCATAACAAATTATAGATGATATTGCAAAGAATGTAAATTCCAGAACACTTCACTGTGCTCATGTAGAACCTGTACAGAGACCAAATGGCAGTCATTGGAATAAAAAAAGAGACTCCTACATGATTTAAGATCAGGAAAGCTGTGTGTCTCAGGGTTGTAGCATTTCACCATGTTTATTCAATCTGTATACTGAGCAAAGAATTCTAGAAGTTGGACTATAAAAAGCACAACACAGCCATCAGGATTAGAAGACTCATTAACAATCCGATAATGCAAATGCTGCAATCTTGCTTGCTGAAAACGAAGAGGACTTGACGCACTTACTGATGAAGATCAAAGACTGCAGCCTTCTGTATGGATTACAACTCAACACCAGGAAAACAAAAATCCTTACAGCTGGACCAATAAGCAACATCACAATAAATGGAGAAAAGATTGACGTTATCTAGTATTTCCTTTTACTTAGATCCACAATAAGGAACCATGAAAGCAGC